GAGAGAGAGAGAGAGAGAGAGAGAGAGAGAGAGAGAGAGAGAGAGAGAGAGAGAGAGAGAGAGAGAGATTTCAGGCAGTGACTATTTCGGGCCTACTGGTGCCCAGGATCTGATTCGAAATTTTTTAGGACAGACATTGGTTGGACAATTGACGGGGACTCGTCGGGAGACTATTTCTTGGACGACTACGAGTTCTACTCTCGTCTTCTATTCCCTCTCCACCTTCATCTCTCTTCCCCCCCTCATGATCCATGGTTTTCTTCCCCATGTGTGTGCGCAAGGAGGGTCCCTTTCTTCCGTGGATGATTCCCCTACTTGCTGTGTGACATGTGTGATGGTGATTGTGTGAATCGAGTCTGGATCTGATGTGTCAGGTCATATCTTTGAGTCTTCCACTGCGCTACATTGCATTATATTGTTTTATTCTTTGTCCTGTTCATCGCACTGGGACTTGCACATGTGCATCACTCATCTTCAGATCAGCATGCATCACTTAAGCTACTCTGTGTAAAGCTGAGTGGGTTTTTTCGGGTGCTCTTGTTACTTTATTAATTCTAAGGGCCGGTCTACAAGTGAATAGGATGCTAAAGGTAGGCTGGTTGTATGTGCATGACCCAAAAGTGAATAGCGGGTCTCACATGATGTTGTCCCAAACGAGACCCGGTAACTCAGTGGGTGAGGAGGGACCTAGGCTGGAGGCTCAGGCGAGCCCAGACCGAAAACACAATCATGTTCCTTTTTTTTTTTTTAGCATCATGATCCCAAGTGCAGACCCTGTGTTTCTTATTGCTTTGCTTGGTCTGGTGAATGCTATGCCCAGACTGAAAACCCAATCTCCTTTTTTTTCTCTGGTTCTACCCCATACCTGATACCTACCACTAACGTCCTACCACAGCCTTCTTAAACCTAACCTACCTAGGCATTCATGAATATTGTAGGTCTGGGTCTGGCAATGGAACTGGGACTGGGACTGGGACTGGGACCAGGGCTTCAGTGGTGAAGTCATTTCACAGAACAGCAACTATGGTTATAGTGCTGTCAATTGAACTGCAATGAACCCAGTCCGGAGTGAAGCTCGTCAATGTCAAAATACAGAATGTCTCAGCGCAATCTCAATGTCTCCAAACATCATCAAGTAGCCCAATGTCTAGTCACCAGAGAAGAAGGTGGAGGGAGGGAGATGAGACTAAGAGGGTGGAAGAGGAAGTGTCCGTCAGCGTAGCAGATAGAACTCTGTTATGATTCTGGTTGTCTGTTGTCTGTTGTCTGAAGACCAACACTCACTCACATAGACTCCCAGGTATGCCCATACATACAGAGAAGAGTATCACACCACACAGGGAGAGATAAACACAGCGGAAGACTTACCATGCGATATGACAGGGTACACTGAAAGTGCAATTCGCTCCACTCAATCCTCACAACCAGTCATAAAGGAAAGCCGAGTAGATCACATTCAAGAAACAATGAAACGATGATAGTCTGAACCCAGTATCAACACTGTTTATTAAACTCAGAGTTTCAAATTGTCAGGATAACCTCAGAACTATGATGCGCTGCTCAGAAATGAGCAGTGCTTCACTCCCCAACCCTGATGAACCGCTATTACTATCCCCAACCCTTATGAACCGCTATTACGACCCCTGAGTCCCTGAAACATCAAGCGCCACCCAGATACAGCCTCCAGAGGGAAGCCCCACCCTGAAACAGGCCTCTGAGGCCAAGCGCCACTCAGAGGATGAAAAAGAAGACCAGCGCCAAGTGTCGGAAGACTTCCGGGGTGGAATTCTGCAGCAGCACCACCACTCCTGACAAGATGMTCTCTGAGGAAGAAGCTGCAGCTATGGCAGCAGTGCCACAACCCTGTAACCCTACTCCGGAGGAGGGTCCAGCAGGGCACCAACTTCTCTTGCCTCCAGCAGACCTCGAATAGCCCAGACCTCTGTACAGCCCCGCATGCTGACTGAGTACAGCGCAGGTCCCAGCTATGGCCGGGGTTCCGAAGGTCTGGCTATGTCTGTCTCCCTCAACGCTGAGCCGTCACCACTTCCGGTTCACGCGTAGCACAGCAGCGATGTGCCCCACCTATCTATAGTCTACTCTAGCCTAGACTTGACCTAGACCGGACTGACTGACCGACCGGTACCGTTTCTGTTTCGGCCTCTAGGGCCTCTCCCAACCCGGCTATAGGCTATAGGACCGTCTATCAGCTTAGGCCCTTAGGGCCTGTCTGTCCTAGGGGTAGCCCGGGCCTGCTATTCGCAGTTAGGGTAGCTGTAGGAATTCTAGTTAGTATGGGCCTATATTTTCCCTGGGTTAGGCCGACGCCTGGTCCAGACTGACGGGGGGGGGTCCGTCCAGCAAAACCATACGAGCCAAAAAACGTCCCAGGATTTCTTTATTTTTTTTTGTGAAGATGGGGTTGGAGTGCACTCGCTGAGAGGAGCCCGAATCTGCGGAGAAGCTTGTGAAAGGCATCTGTGGGGAGTGGGGCGGGGGGTAGCGGAGGTGCTTGCAACTTTTCCTTTTCCTTTGTCTGCTGCCGTTTTGCCTCTCCTCCTTCCAGACCTGCCACTCCCCCCGCCGACGCCGCTGCAACCGCCTGCCATACTGTCTTGGAAGTAGAGGATGCAAGGACCAACAGCGAGGGAAAAAAGAAAGTACAAATATCGGAAGAAGGACAAGAAGAAGAAGAAGAATTAGTAGTAGTAGTAGTAGTAGAAGAAAAAGAAGAAGAAGAAGAAGAAGAAGAAGAAGAAGAAGAAGAAGTCTGTGCGGTTGTGAATGGGGCTGCTGTCTGCCCGCTTACGTCCTTTTTTAGGGGCAGCCTGGCAGGAAAAAAAACGAACGGGCAACAGCAGGCAGTAGGATATGGCAGGCGGTACAACATGGCTGGCGGATGTGCGAGATGGTGGGCGGTAAGATATGGAGGAGGAAAAAGACGAGGAGGGAAGAAGAAGAAAAAAGGAGGAGGAGGAGGGAAGAAGAAGACGAAAGGAGGAGGGGGAGGAGGAGTAGAGAAGAACGAGGAGGAGGAGGAAGAAGAGGAAGATCAAGAAAGGAGGAAGAGGAAGAGGAAGAAGAAGATGATGAAAAGAGGAGGAGGAGGAGGAGGAGAGAAGAACGAAGGGGGAGGAGGAGGAGAGAAGGACAAGACGAAAGGAGGAGGAGGAGGAGAGAAGAAGAAGAAGAAGAAGACAAGAGGAGGAGGAGAGAAGGACATGATGAAAGGAGGAGGAGGAGGAGGAGAGAAGAAGAAGAAGAAGACAAGAGGAGGAGAGAAGGACATGATGAAAGGAGGAGGAGGAGGAGGAGGAGGGGGAGAGAAGAAAAAGGAAGACAAGACGAAAGGAGGAGGAAGGGAAGAAGAAGAAGAAGAGGAAGGAGGAGGTGGAGGCGGCTTCACCCCGATGGCGCTAGCAGCTTCATGGGCAGTGACGACGTGGATTGGTTCTTGACGGGGCAGCTCAACTGGGAGCGACGATGGCAGCTCGACGAGGAGGAGCAGCGACGACGGCGGGCTTGGAGACGGCAGCTATGATGGGAGGGCTTCGTGACGGCAGCTTCGCAGTGGAAGATGCCATGTTCGAATTTGAACGTGGCGTGGTAGGCCAGCATGGGGGGAAACGAGGTCGTTTCTTGCGGCTGATCGCAGCCGCCGGTCTTCACAGGTCGGGTGCTGAGATCAGTCGCCGAAGAAGCCCTTCCCCCGGCCTCACGTGGGCCTGAGTTCGAAACAAAATGTTTCAAAGTGTTCATGGGGGTCGGGGATGTTCCGACTGGGCGAAAAAGGCCYCCCCCCCCCCCCCCGCACAAAATTGCGCTGGGCCTGCCCGGCGCCAAACCGGGGGACCCAACCGGCCCGGCCCCCCGGGATCTCTGCCGGACGAAGGCTGGGCCGCCGGGCGGCCCGGATTTTAACACAGTATTTTCCCAAATTTGCAGATATGTCCCTAGCGAATTTCCTTACGGTTAGATCTCTCGGTTAGCCCTCAGCCAAACAAAATTACGAATCTAACCTACAGGTGGTACAGCCTCGACAAGAGAGAGGCTACAGACGACCAGAAACTAGCAAGTCGTTGCAAATCCCTCAGTTCCCCTCCTCTTCTTCGGGCATCTCCCCTCGCCACATCAGCAAACAGTCTCCTCTGACACAATCTGACACAGAGCCGATCTCATTGTAGCTTGTCAGCGCAGATTCCTCGTGAAGACGATCAGCAGCGCGCAATGTCGATACATCATCAAACAGGTAAGCTTCCCTTCGATCAACCAATCTCACAGCCCTTATCCTCCTCCTCCTCGCCAATCCCCAATCAATGCTGCGGGCAGTATGGCCAATGCCAAATCAGCATAGTCTCAGCAGTCGACAGTGTGGCCAGCTCCACGTCAACATAGTCTCTAATCCAGCTGGCCCCCAAGATAGAGATGGCGCCAGCGTCAAGTAAACGTTGTGCAGTCTCACGTTGTCATCCAATGTCGAGCCAGCGACGAGGCAGCGACAAGCCAGCGTAGAGCTAGCGTCCAGCCAGCGTCGAGCAGCAAGTGCAAGACTGAATGTCGGTCAGCAGTGGATGGGTCAACATATAGTGTTCACTCACTTGACCAGCCTCTGGTCTCATGGATGCGGCAGCCCAGATTTTGACCCGCGATGGACGGCCTGGATTCATACACTTGCAGATTCCCACTTGGACTGAATCTTTGGAAGATACCTGCAAACAACCAAACGTGTGTCTGGTCTGTGCCGTGGGCTGGGACCGTGTGGACTTTGACTTAAGAGCCTGAATCTCCGAGCTGGTGTTGACCTTTGACTTTCCACTGTAAACTGTCGCACGCAGGGCCTCTGAGACCCCCGTTTAGGCCGTGCTTTGGGTACCCACAGCAGCAGGCCTCGTATCAGGCAATTTCCTATCCCTTGGGTGTGACCTTTGGCCCCTGTTACGGCCCTTAGACCCAAGTGTCGACGTGTGGCTCAAGACTATTGCATATTGTCTACCGCGTGGGCACGGGGAATGCAGCCCTAAGGTAGCCAAATCAATGAGACTAAGAGCTAACACGAGAGAGAGAGAGAGAGAGAGAGTTTTGTTCCATTTATTGTTATGAGTGTGAGAGAGAGAAAGAAATAGAGAGAGAGGGAGGGGGGGGGGGGGCTACCAGGGAGAGAGAGAGAAATAGAAAGAGAGTTTTGTTCCATTTGTTGATAAGAAAGAGAGAGAGAGAGAGAGAGAGAGAGAGAGAGAGAGAGAGAGAGAGAGAGAGAGAGAGAGAGAGAGAGAGAGAGAGAAAGATAAACACATGCAAATGTAGACAGAACGTGCGAGGTTTTACTTTCACAACATACACGTAATGTCCATGGCATGCGAGACCATTCGCAATTACCCTTCTACCTCATTGCTCAGGTAATCATTTCAGCCTCTATCCTCAGTATTTATACCCTTAGTTCCCAGTCCTTCTCCGCCACTTTCCCTGCCACTTTCCCTATCCTTGCAGTGTACTCATCGTCTATCCTCAGGATCTCCCGCAGTCGCTCTCTGTGTTGTCCATGTCGTCGTCAATTTCCAACATGCCTTTAATCTGCAACTACTTTCATTATATTTTATGATTTTGTTCGTTGATTGATTTCGTCACCCTTGTTTCCAAATATTTTCATTCTGTGTTCGCGTTGTCTGATATGATTTCAAGTTTTAGAGATTGGTGGTAGCATGTTTGAAAAGATTTCAGACATTCCAACTCTTTCGTTTGATCTTTCTTACTTGTTATTATGATCATCATTACATCGTCCACAAAACTCATATCGTGGATAAGTTTCTCATCAATTCCAGTCTGCGCACACCATCTGTACTCGTCGAACGCGCATACCATGTTGGCACTGGGTGGGCTAGAGCCCTTCCCCATTGGTATCCCCATCACTTGGCATAATAATATTCCTTGTACTTTGAGGTTTGAAGTATGCGTGTTTGATGTCATAGTACAACAGATCCATTAGGCACTCAATTTTTAATGTTCTCCATCCGTAGGTTCCGTTTGCTTTTCCAAAGTTCATGTACTTTCCTCTCATCTTGTAACAGAAGTGGGTTTTCCGTTTTTCTTTCGCCGTTTCATCATCCATTGCATGACGTTTAAGATATGCGTGTGATCGAAATTCGAAAACATATCTTTGACGTCGTATGTGGAGCAGATTATCGTAGCCATATCCCTGTATGTTTCTTTTGCTACTTGATTGCATTTCTTCAGACTAGGTAGTAGTTGGTTCGTTCCTTTTAGTGAGAAACCAACTTTCAATGCTTGACACATGAAGTTGATAGCTCTTGATAGTACCTTCGATGCTTTCCGAGATTACTCCTTATATGTCGACACAATTGGTCGGCGTCTGGTGACGTCCTTGTTTTTTGGAATTGTATACGCATTTTTGTATGATCCCTGTTCATCCCATTCTGCGATTTTCTTCAGCCCACATCAATCATACGTATTTTTGGCCAATTGAGTGATCACAGATTCCGTTTGTTGTATAATTTCGTAGTGATTCGATTCCGGAAAGAATTTTCGAGTCTTCTCGTACCAGATTTTACGGTATTCCACAAAAGTTTCTCCAGGATTTATGTCCAATGGTGATAGGATACATTGTGTCAATCTTCTTTTTGCTTCCCATACTTCTGATATGTGAAGAAAAATCTCCATATCATTCTTCTATTCGATGCAAGTAGAGACATCTATTTTAATTTCTCTTTTCTTCCTTAGTGGTCGTGGTATACTTGCAATGGTAGTGATGATTGTCCTTTTAATTTCTTCCTTTCCAATTCTTTCGTTCATATGGGGTACGTTTTTTGCATTCCACAAGAGCTGATTTTCTGTGATTTCACTTAATCTGCAGGCAATGTGGTTCTCAATTTTTGGAAGTCGGGATACTGCACAATATTACAGTCCGGTGCTTGTTTAAGCACCTGTCGGTGATTGTGTAATATTCCCCGACTGTCTTTGATTTTTTAAACATCACACGCATAGACTCGGTTGTTGTGTTTCTCACTTGCTTCAGATTAATGCATGCAACAAATGGAATCTTAAATATCAGCCTTCTCTTGATATTGAATGCAAACTTCTACTTTGAAATTCTTGTGAAGATGCCTTTAATTGTTTGTTTTTGCTTCTTTCCGGTAATCGATCCCACCTTTGACAGAAAAATCAGTATATCATCTAATGATAATTTATACAGTTCCCTCCGTCTCCATGGTGCCCTCAAGCAGTTAATCAGAATATTTCTATGTTTGTTTGTTTTCGGTCCCGTATGCAGCAGTTGGATCACATAGAAGATACATCCATTTTCGATTTGTTTTCTGCATTTTTTTAGCTGGAACTTTGTGTTGTCAATTTCCACAATTATTGATCCGAATGTTCGTTTAATTACTTTCCATTTTTCATTCCGTAGTTTTCCAGCTGTGCAGTAAATCATTGCTTTCGGTTGAAGTATTGATGTTAACTTCGTAGTGTAACCCGATCAAACCGATTTAAACAAAACAAGTATATTCTGATTCACCTCATTGTTTCCATTCTTCTTCCTCTTTCTCCTTCTTCGTCTTCGGTTTTTCCGAGTCTTTCTGCCTTTTCCCCTTGTATTCAAGAATGGATTCAGTCTCCTGATCAGTGTTGCTTCCATCCCTATCACCTCTGATCTCACTCTCGTCCAAATGGGTACCAGAACATATTTCTCCCAACCAAATTTGTGCAGCCACTTGTATAGTTTCCGCTGTGCTCCTCTATTTGGATTCTTGGCCAAGTTTATGTGTTCAGTCCATTTCTTGTCGGGCTGTCTTCCTGTCCTTCCCACGTACATATGTCTACACCAAGGTGAAACTCCCTGTACTAACTAGTTGCTCAATTTTCGTTGATAGCCTGTGTATCTGCTCCCACTTCTGTGTCGTGGTGAGGTCGCCTGATGCTGAGGTGTCTTCTACCTTCCCGACAGATCTTCGGCGCTCGAAGATGTGTCGGGTGAGTCATACTCATCACTCCCGCTTGATCTTGTACTGAGGCTCTCGTAATCATCCTCACTTGTGTCGCCGCCAGTTGTATTGGACACTCTGATGTTATCTGGATCTGGCATGATCTGTGTTTCAAGATCAGAATCCCGGTTGAAGTCCCGCCCCTTGTAGGCGATCAATCCAGGAACTTGCCTCAATGTCGGGATCGCTTGCGGCTTGTCCTTGTACCTGATGTCATGCATCTTGCATAAGATCTTCAGGTCCGTGTAGTGAAGACGAAGGAGCTGCATGTCCGTCACCGATTCGACCTCGAAATTAATGCTCCGTTTTGCCTTCGACTTTGTTGCTGACACGTTGCGATTAATCTTCGTTCGTCCTCTCTTGGGGTGTGGAGGGATTACACGTCCCAATCTGCTTTTGTTCGATGCGCTTCTGCTTGGCATGTTTCGACTCGGAATGTT